GATACGACTATGAGATGTATAAGAACGATAAGGCTATGACAAATTTAGGAAATGTTATGACTAGGATATGCATATGGAGCGATATGACTATGAGGTGTTTACGAAATGATATGATATGTGAATGACGGATATATATATATATATATATTTATTTATTTATTGTGATATGATGTATTTGATGGTGTTAATATAACACATGCGGAAGCAATTTGGATCTTAGGCACTTTTAGAACATCAATTATTGTAAATTACTAACATGTTCATAAGTATTAAAACTTAATGAGTTTAAATACTAACCTTTTGTAGTTCAAACTCCTTTTGCCTCACGAATCGGTTTCGAACCACCACTAGTGTCTTCTCCACTATCCTCCGGCCTTAGAACGGGATTGTGGAATCCGGTGAGTGACTAAACTTGGGAGGGATTTTGTATATGTGAAAGAGAGTGTTTGTGAGAAGTTTTTCTCAAGGTTTTTCATCAAGATGAAGACCATCCCTCCAAGTATCATGATCACTCTATTTAAAGAGTCAAGTTTGCATGTTCATGCAAACTTGAGATCACCAAATTTTGACACTTAAAATTCCACTCAAGAGTTTGGGATTATGTGGCAAGCATGCATGTTTGAGTTAACCAAATTTTGACACCCAAAATTCCACTCAAACTTGTGGGGTTTATTTGGAAAACATGCAAGTTTGGTTAAACCAAATTTTGACACCTCAAAATTCCACTAACATGGATTTTTCCATTAGATGAAAGTCAACATTTTGACTTTCTTCATTTTAATTCAACAATTAATTTGAATAATGAATTTCAAATTAGAGTAACATTAAATGATTAATTAAACTATTTAATTAATATTTAATATTAATTCAAATGTCAATCCCAATCAATTCCGACACATAATTGATTAAGATATTTAAATCTTATTTAAATATCTCACATTCTCTCTTTTCGTTTAATTCGTAAATAAAACAAAATTGCGGTTAAATATATCGTATATATGTAACGCATATTCCCTAGTTTGAATTCGAACACTTCGAACTCACTCGTCACATTGTTCTATGGTTTAGTCCGATATGAGCTAGCAGAGGGACCTAATGGACCTATAGATCATGGGCTCCAACGATCCAAGATTAACCGATTAAACTCATTAACCTGGTTAACCAACATTCGTTAACTACTACGACACTCCACTATAGCCTAGTAGTTGCACTCCCCTCACTATAGATATATTTCTGTCCATCTAATATAACCATGATTAGTAAGTCGATCCTTCACAGGTTGTTCGTAACTAGAGCTGGGTCAATTTACCGTTTTACCCTTGAAGTTACTTCTTGTTCCTTATGTCTCACTGATCCTCTAATGAACAATTGGTTTGTGGTCCAACCAGTAAACCAAATCCCTCTCAGGCCAATGAGAGGGTGGGGCCCCTTGTTCAAGACCTGGAGTCAGTGCTTAAGGGAACTACCTTTCTTCTATCCCTAAGTGGGTAGGAGTGAATTCCGTCTTGCACCCCACATCCCCAGCCATTCACCCAGTCTTACCCCTGAAATGGGAGGCCTGTTGAGTCGGCGAACTAGAGCCACTCTCACCCATGCAAATCTAAGGATAATTCCGAATAAACAGGAGTTCATGGTTAGCTCAGGATTAAAACTGAGTTACCTAGGTTATCGAATGAAAAGAAAATCAGTCTCAACAGTAAATGACTTTATGAAGTGAGAGTGGTTTTCTTCATGGTCCGATCTTATGCAATACTCATTGCATAGGACGCCCCCACTCACATGTCTCCACATGCACAATTTAGTGATCACATTGTTTATATCATATACAAAAGTGGGCCGCATCCATAGTGTCCCCAGAATAAGGTACTCAGCCTTATCCTTATACTATAGATCATTTTGACTATATACTTGAACTTGATCCACTCTTATGTCTCTACATATAGTTCAAGTAATCATACTATAGCCAGAGTGTTCTTAGTTTATTGGATTTAGATTAATGATCGTAAAGTTCACTTTATTCAATAACAATTTTTACTGAATAAACATCAATAATAACTTTATTGAAAATAGAATATATCTTTGTTTACAAACTATGAGTTTTAGGACATAAAACCCAACAGTATTGTGATACGATATGTTATGAAGTGATATGTGTAAGGCATACACGGGTTATATTATATGACTGTTGTGATTTATGATATGTTATGATATGTAGAGAATGAAAACTGTTATTATGGAAGCATGGAAACGCTATGATATAACATATGTATGTAATATGAATAATATGATATGATTGGCATGCAAAACGACGAACTAACATGAAATACAATCCCGATATACGTATGAAAAATATGATAAATGATATGATAAAATGACAAAATGATATCGAAATGACACGATAAGCCATAGAGAATGCTTGCACTGGAAAAAAGGGACCTAGGAGGTGTGCAAACCAACTGGTGGGTCCACACTCGTATGTTTGGACGGTGTGTAGGAAAATTAAGTACATCATGGTCATGGTTCATAGATTATGGTAACTATCTTTCTTCTTTAGGGAAGCCATTTTATGACATTATTTTCTCATTCGAATAAATATTTATATATACGGTTACAAGTGAATTACGCATATATGTTGATGAAAGTGATTACTTACTTTCAAAAGGATGATTCCAAATAAAAATATTTTCATTCCATTCGTACTCTATAAGTTATCATAAATAAATCACATTTTAAATAATGGTTGAAATATGTATCCAATTTCTAAATCTACCACCAAACGAATATAATTCATATTTTATTGAATCTCTTATTTTTAAATATTCAACCAAACGTAATTATATAATCCTTCTATTTTTCTCTCGTCCTTTTACCTAGAAAATTTGGACATACTTCCCGGTCAAAAATATATATTTTTTTACAATTCTCTCATTGTCTACTAACAAGAGTTCGAACGATAAGAATCATATTAAATAATTGACTTTGATTAATTAAATAATTTGATGTTCATATAACCTATGACTTGACCACCTAATTATAGAACTCGACGTAAATTTATTAGTCACGTTCAACTTACTATTCAATTAATTTCTCGTTCAAGAAGAAGAATAAAATAAGGAGTATTATTATTTTTCTAAAAAAAAAACTCTCAATACCTAACTAAGTGGAGTCAAATACTTTAAATAATTACTCAATTTTTTTTATAAAAAAAAATATAATCTAAGGAGACTAATACAAACCCAGGAATTAAAATATAATGGTATAAAAAATTAAGTAATAAAATGAGATAAATAAACTTTATATGAAAAGAAAGAGACCAAAAATTAAAATGGGTTGAAAATATTTTAATAATAGAAGACGGAAAAAGGAAAGAAGAACGTACTTTAAGGATTAAACACAAAAAGGGGGAAAAAAAAAATAATAAAGGACCATTTAAAAAAGGGAGGAAATATAAAATAACAAAAAGTTAGGGGTTGATATGAAATTTAAAAAAAAATAAACAGAGGACTGAATATAAAAAGTATCCAAAATATTTTAAAACTAAAACTAGAGATGGTACGTGTCGTGGTTGGCTTTCCCGTCCCGATTCATGCTTCTTGTTTTATTTTTTATTCGAGTGAAATTTTCTATTTATTTTTATAGAGATTGAGTTGATAATTTTAAGCGAGAATTTGAAGATTAAATTCTTTATAGAGGTTTTTTTTTTTAAAAAAAATAATTATTTTAATGTTTTTATTTTTTAATATAATTTTTATTAAAAAATTGTAAAAAAAATCTTAATATATAAATAAATAAATATATATATATATATGATCAAATTTTTATAATACATAGTAACTTATAACAAGTAAAAAAATTTACATCCTAATTTTAAAATTAACTTATTTTTAATTTAGTAAAAAAAGAGAAATGAGAAATATATTTTTATCTCTGACTTGTTTATCTAACAGAAAAGAAAAAACGTTCTTCACCCTTTCCTTCCTTCTTTGCCTAAATGAATAATTTTTGCCTAAATGAATAATTTTCACTCCATCCATCTAAATGAATAAACAGACGTCTCTCATTAAAATGAAAAATAATTTAATTAAGACAGTTTTAGTAGACATAAAAAAGTCAAAAAGGAAAATTTTTATTAGCCGAAAACTAAGAAATAACAGAAAAGAAAATAAAAAATAAATTTTTAAAAATAAAAATTCGAGTCAATTTGCGACATTTTTTTTTTGTCACATCAAACTCAACCCGTTACAACCTAATTCTGTTTTATCATACTTTTAAGATTATTACAAAAATTAAGAATATTTGATGTTTGTGGCCGATATTAATCTTGTGAATATTTAATATTTAAACTTTAGAGATTTTAGTTATAAGCATATTATGTATGGTGTATATATAAGATTTTTTTAATATACAAAAAAATTAATCTGACAACCGAACTACGAAAGGGAATTCTATTCGAATTGCTCAAGTCATCAACTCAATTCTAAGAAAATTTACCAACCCAACCTAATTTGTATACATTTCGGAGTTGCTCGAGTCACCAACTCAGGTTTAAAAAATTTTACCAACCCAACCCGTAAACCCTTCAAACTTACTCGAGTCACCAACTCAAATGTAAAAAAATTTTAGTAACCCAACCCAACTCGTATACCGACTAAAAAAAACTAAAAGAATGAAAACATTGGGCAAGGGGGAGAGATTGAATTACGTAGACAAAGGTACAGCCCCATTTTAAAATTTCCTACTTTATAAAGCCAACAGTACTTCCATTTTACTCCGTCAAACCTTAATTTTACTTTCCTTTCGGCGCTTTCAAAAAAAAAAACAAAAAACAAAAAACAAAAAATTCGTGTCAATTCAAATCTAAAATATTTCCCGTTTGAATTTCAAATCAAACGTCTTAATTCTCCAACCATTTTCCTTGTTTCATTTACATTCAAATTACATATAAAAACCCCCAACATTTCCTCTTTCCATCCTCAACCCCAACCTCCCTCCCACCATGATGAACCGCATGTCCGCCGTCGCCAACATTACGCCAAGGCAGTTTCTAGCTCATCTTGGCAACAACCACATGCCTATCGTCAAGCCCTGCGACGTCTTCATAAACCACAGAGGCGTCGACACCAAGAAGACAGTGGCGGCGTTGCTGTACGACAGGCTCGTCCGAATGAACCTCCGCCCGTTTCTAGACTACAAGAATTTGAAGCCTGGAGAGAAGCTGTTCGATGAAATTCATGGCGCCATTAGACACTGCAAAGTTGGTGTGGCTGTGTTCTCGCCTCGCTATTGTGAGTCTTACTTTTGCCTCCATGAGTTGGCCATGATCATCGAGTCCAACAAGAAGCTTATTCCCATCTTTTGTGATATCAAACCGTCTGAGCTTCGTATTGAGGATGACAATGATTATGAAATAGATGAGCTTAGGCGGTTCAATTGGGCTCTCCAACAAGCTAAGCAGTTTGAGTGCCTCAAATTTAATTCCTTTAAAGAGTAAGATTAATATTTTTCATATATATTATAGTATTTAATTTTATTTAATTTAATTTATTTCTCTATGTTTTTTTAGGACATTACCAGAAGTTGTGACGAAGATATCAAATGTTGTGATCAGAAATTTGGCAAACTAAATGTAGAGCAACATCTAACACTTTCTTATTATTCTTTTGTATAACATCCTGCCAAACAAAATGTACCATGATGTATAATAACAATAATAATAATAATAAAAAATTTAAATTTTTGGTGTATTTTTTTTTGTTTCAATTGGATCCAATCTAACCTTAAACTTGAAATAGATATGATATGTTTTGACTCATTACATATGGTTGGATGATGAAAGTCCCACGTGGGCTAATTTAGGAAATAATCATGGGTTTATGAACAAAATAATACTTTCTTCATTGGTATGAGGTCTTTTGGGGAAGCCCAAAGCAAAACTACGAGAACTTATGCTCAAAGTGAACAATCACATACCATTGTGGAGAGTCGTGTTCGTCTAATATGGTATCAGAGCCCTGCCGGACTCCAAAAGAAAAAAGAGTCAAGCCTCCTTGAAGGTAGTAAAAAATGACTTAAGACTTCAAAGGAGTGGAGCCTTGATTGAGGGGAGGCGTCACATCGGCTAATTTTTTAGGGAATGATTTAATAAGTAGAATTAAAACGTCGCTACCCTGAAAAATTACCAAAATACCCCCACTTTTTATTAAGACGGTTGAAAAATTACCAAAATACCCCCACTTTTTATTAAGACGGTTAAGGATATAAGGGTCAAATGCTAAGTGCATGGTGTGAAGAAATAATATAGAGATTATTTTGAAAGTTTGGTGATTATATTTATATTTGTATGATTAATTAAAGCTTAGGTGATTAAGCATGCAGTCGTTTGGTCCTATATTCTCTTATTAAATCTGTGATATTATTCTAATCTTCTAGCGTTAAGATGCAATTTACATGTTAATTTAAGTGATGAGTTTAATTAATAATTTAAACATTAAATTTAATTTTAAAAAATATGGAGGACAATAGGAACTCAATTTGTTAAACTATCTCATTCCTAGGATATTTACAAAATTGAATTTATGGATAATAAAATTTAAAAAATATTTTATTCAAATAGAATTTATAATTTAAAATGGGTGACAATACAATTGTGATGCCCAAATTAGAAAAAATAAATAAATTAAAAATGAAATTGAGGAAAAGAGATTAAAGAAAAGTGAACTTAGGGGCAAAATGGTAGTTTCACATTTTATTTAAATTAAAAAAGAGGAAATTCTGGAATTTCTAATGAAAGTCGGTTAATTGGAGGATTTAGCCGTTAGTTGAAGGGAGATTTAAGGAAAATTGAAAGAAAATCGAGTTGAAACTCATTTCTTAATTTAATTTAATTTTGAAGTTTCCACCCAAAATTTGTGAAATTACGGTGAAATTAGGGCATCGTCAATTATAAAAGTTTTTAATTCTAAACTATATCAAAAACTCAACTCTAAAATTTTTATATTTGTAATTAAAAACTTTTCTAACGGTCACCGAAAGGCTGAGTTGAAATTCGATTAAAATAAACGTAAAATAATGAAAAGAAAATAAAAATGGAAGTGGAGGATGTCCACGGGGCGGGCGGATACATGAGAGTCTTTCTCATGTATGTCATATATCTATATTTCGTAGGTACTCGAGGAGCAACCTAATTTGCCCCAACTCATGGACTCATCTTAAGCCAAGGAACGCTCTCATCTTATATTGAATCACTCGGGGGTTAGCTGAAAAAATCTTAATAAGCCCTACATAACACCCGTATCGGATAGGGAGCAACTTCCGTGCCTACCAACTATCATATTTTTGCATGGTCCCTTGCTCTCATCCGCTCAAGTCTACAATTAAAAGATCTAACATAGCATTATATATCTTTGGTAAGACAAGATTCAACTCTATGATTATACCAACTTGTAATGGTCCGAATGTGGACTCCCATTAATCGTACAATGTTTGGGTTTGATTCTATTGGCTAGTGATGATATTTTAATACATTGAGGCTCAGCTCCACGGTGACTCAGAGAATTATGTCGATGGTGTGACAGTTGGGGAAGGGAGAGAGGAGCGTGATTATGACAATTCATTAGCCCTCGATCGAGTCGGCTTTTCTAAATGTTCCATAAGGTATTATTGCCCCTAGATGTTTATTGGTTGGATTAAGTATCTATATATGATGTCTCAGTTGGAAGCTGATGATATCCGATTCATGTCCCAACTTTCCTGCAGCAAAGGACATAGGTCTCCATGGGAAAGCCACATCCATTGTCAGGTGGCCATGCTTATTGTATATCGTCTAATTGCTTTAATCACGATTGGTCTGACTTCAGTAGGCTTAATTTAATTTGTACATGATTTAGTTCTTGTACGATTTATTAGTGGTACTAAAGCGTTGTACTTGAAGTACTATTTGCTTCGGTTATAATGTTATTTATTTGGTTACTTTTTACTTCGGTTATTGATTTTGGTGTGCTTTAATTGAGAGTCAAAACTAACCATTGTAACGATCAGTAAGTAAAAAACTAAAAGGTGGAAAAAAGAAATTAAACTAGAATAATGAAAATTACTCTTTCCACGCGTTTTCCTCCTGCTAGTCAACTTACATAAATCTTACCATTCCAAAATTCTATTTATCATGTGGCTAAACGTCTCCAGAAATCTCTGTTTGAAGGGAGTGGAGAGATTACTCCTTCGGCCAAGGATAGAGATTATATCTCGATCCTAACTCCTATTCAATGTATAACAATAAATAAGAGTATTAATTTGATCATTTAATTTATAACTATTTTAATTAATATCTTATTTATTTTAGTTTGTTTTTTTTATATTAATATTCTAACTGAATCATCAATTTGTCTTGGAGGTTGAGGATATCTAAATTGGATTGAGTTTGTGTGTCACATTAAATTTCCTCAGTAACATTTTAGTGAGACTTTGTAATGCGAGTGAAGTATTCATTGGTAAACACTTAGATTATTAGTGATTAGTTGCTATCGGTGGATGTAAGGGAATTTCTTTTCTCGGAACCACATAAATCTGTTTCTTTGTTTAAATTCGGTTCATGGGGGTTGGGAGTACATTCAATCTTACTTCTTTTATTGGTACAACAATTAGTATCATAGTCCTCTAGTTATAGCATTTGAGCGCCCAACAAAATATATATATATATAGTAAGCGAGAAATATTAGGAATATCACAATGGATCATAGAGTATAATTTTGTATTAAAGTTTTAAATATGAATGTGATAAATTAAAAATTGGTATGGTTATTTACATGAAATTAAAAGTTGAAGCAAGAAGTTGATGGGCTTAATTTCAGGAAAGAAAAGCTGGAGATTAGTTACGTTTAGAAACACAGATCCACACGATTAAATCAAGAATTTCATTCATTCCATCGTTCTTCTCCCTATATAAATACACAAAACAAGGCTGCTAATTGCTTCTTCGCTTACATGCACCACTCAACATCAGAATGGCAGAGCTAGACATCGAATCCCACACAAACCCCACCATTAACACCACAGATTCTTCGGAAGCCGCTGCCTTTTTCCGCAAAGAAAACCGCCCACTCACGTTAAAGGTACCAATCTTTCTTCAATATGATAATCTTTATTCACTTTCTTTAATGGATTTTCCATATTTATTCACTTTCTTTAATGGATTTTCTTTTTCTTGCAGTTCCACAACGTCATATACAAGATCAAATCCAAGAAATCAAATTTGGAAGAGAAAACAATCTTGAAAGGTATAAGCGGAGTGGTTCGACCAGGGGAGATGTTAGCCATGATGGGTCCATCGGGGTCTGGAAAAACCACTCTTCTCACAGCCATTGGAGGCCGCTTGGGTGGGCGTCTCGAAGGAACCATTTCTTATAACAATAAACCCTTCTCCAATCAAATTAAACGCAACATTGGCTTTGTAACCCAAGATGACATTCTTCTTCCCCATTTGACCGTCACTGAAACCCTTGTTTTCACTGCGCTTTTAAGGCTTCCAAATGCCTTGACCAAGCACCAGAAATTGGCTCACGCAGAGGCTGTCCTGTCCCAGCTTGGTCTCATTAAGTGCAAGAACAGCGTCGTGGGTGACCAAAGACTAAGAGGGGTTTCTGGGGGAGAGAGGAAAAGGGTCAGCATTGGCCAAGAAATGCTCATAAACCCTAGTCTTCTGTTTCTTGACGAACCCACTTCGGGTCTTGACTCCACCACGGCTCAGAGGATCGTTTCCACTCTCTGGGAGCTCGCTCATAATGGTGGGAAGACTGTGGTTATGACCATTCATCAGCCTTCCAGCCGCCTTTTCTATATGTTTCATAAGATCTTGTTGTTGTCCGAAGGCAACACGATGTATTTTGGGAAAGGATCCGAAGCCATGGATTATTTCTCCACTCTTGGCTACTCTGTTTCTGTGCCTATGAACCCTTCTGATTTCTTGTTGGATCTTGCTAATGGTATGCCATTTTTTTCTTTCATTTGCTTAAAGAATTGTGGTTTTGGAGTGTTCTTGACAGAGTTAGCCGCAGGTTTGTCAATGAATGATCCGGAAGAGGAGGCCACCATGATTAAGGAGAAGCTTGTTTCATGTTACAAGAACAGTGACATGGCTGAAAACTTGGAGTTAGAGGTAAAAGAAAGTGATGAACATTTGGATGAAGATGCCACAATAAACAAGAGATTTGAGCGATGGTCTACCACTTGGTGGCAACAATTCTGTGTTCTCTTGAACAGAGGAATTAAGGAAAGAAAGCATGAATCCTTTTCTGGGCTCAAGATTGCCCAAGTTTTAGCTGTGGCTTTCATCAGTGGGCTGTTATGGTGGCAATCTGATGATGCCCATTTACAAGACAAGGTTTCAAATCCCTCTTCATTCATTTCTTTAAGCACACACAAAAACACCAACAAAACATTTAAAACATTTAGTTAGTTCTTGTATTGAATGAGATCATGTTAAGGCAACCTTGTACTTGTAGATTGGATTGTTCTACTTCTCCTCAAGCTTCTGGGGTTTCTTCCCTCTTTTGCAAGCTATCAGCACCTTTCCAAGAGAAAGAATGATACTCGAAAAGGAGAGATCTTCAGGAATGTACCGCCTCTCGTCTTACTTCATTTCAAGAACCATAAGCGACCTCCCAATGGAGCTCATCCTTCCCACCGTCTTCATCCTCATAATCTACGGGATGGCAGGGTTGAAACGAACCGTGACGAGTTTCTTTTCGACCCTATTTTATCAGCTCCTGAGTGTTTTAGTGTCCCAAGGGTTTGGTCTGGCGGTTGGCGCGCTTGTTTTGGACCAAACTTCAGCTACCACACTTGGATCAGTTATCATGCTTTGTTTCCTTCTAACATCGGGCTATTTTGTTCAGCATGTGCCGGGGTTTATTGCTTGGACCAAGTACATTTCTATTGGTACTTATACTTATAAGCTTTTGCTGATATCTCAATACAAAGCTACTGATACTTATCTATGTCCGGGCCATGGAGTGGGGGTGTGTGAAGTTGGAGAGTTCCCTGCAATTAAGCAAATGGGTCTTCATGGGAAAACCACTGCTATTTTGGCTTTGATGGCTATGCTCGTTGGATATCGTCTTGTTGCTTATATTGCTTTGATGAGGATTGGTGTAACTAAGAAGGAATAGCTTTTATGCGTAACGGATGAATTTGTTTTGAAATCTTTGATATTGTTATGGTTAATCTTTGATGTTCATAGGGATAGTGATAGTTCAGTGTATATCAGGACACTTAGTTTGTTCATTCTTTCCTTTGGCTATCTAATTATATATTGATGGTAGAATATGTAACCAAAGTTTTTTATTTTTCTTTTCGTTTTGATATTCGTTCGATGCATGTCGTGTTAACTTTTGACTCGAACGAACGTTATGAAGCTATGTTGTTGTTGAATATAGGATGATACGATAGTAGGGAACATGAAGCCCAATCTTTAAAAAATTTATGCAACAAGATGATATCCAACAAGCCTAGTAACCAAAGCCAAAGCAGTAGTGACTTTTCCATGATGACCCACTTGCTTAATTGCAGGGGACTCTTCTAACTTCATGTAGCTCCCTTCATTGCCTGAACATAGATAAATATCAGTAGCTTCGTATTGAGATATTACAAAAGCCGGTAAGTATTAAGTATCAATAGAAATGTACTTAGTCCAAGCAATAAACATTGATACCTACCGAACAAAATAGCTTGATGTTGGAAGGAAACAAACCATGATGACTGGTCCAAGTGTAGTGGCTGAAGTTTGGTTCAAGGGTGCCAACAGCTTGACCAAACACTTGGGACACTCGGGAGCTGAGGAACCAAACACTTGGGACACGCAGGAGCTGAGGAACAAGGGTGCCAACAGCTTGACCAAACATTTGGCTCACTCAGGAGCTGAGGAAATAGAGTCGATAAGAAACTCGCCACAATTTGTTTCAACCCTACCATCCTATAGATTATGACGATGAATACGGTGGGAAGGAAGAGCTCCATTGGGAGGTTGCTTATGGTTCTTGAGATGAAGTAGGATGAGAGGCGGTACATTTATGAGGATCTTTCCTTTTCAAGTATCATTCTTTTTCTTGGGAAGGTGGTGGTAGCTCGCTTCAGAAGGAAGGAACCCCAAAAGTTCGGTGAAAGGTAGAAGAGTCGGTTCTGCAAATGCGAGGCTGTTAATTAACCTATTGAAAATGATCATCAGATACAATAAGTTTGTAGTCGTTGTTGTTGGTGTATAAATTTTGTGGTTTAAAATTCATGAGTTCTTGTTGCCGCCATGTTGTGGACCATGAAGTTGGTTCTCAAAAGAGGGAATGAAGAGAGACTAATGACAGACCAGCTTCCCAGAAATGATTGAAGAACAGATTCCAATGGCAACAAAAAGAGCTCACATATTGGTATTACTTCTTTTTCATTCTTGTAATAATGGCCCATTCCCTCCAGCTCCAGCCTATTTTATGAAGGCAAGAGCTCCCCGTTTGTAAACTATAATTTTGATATCAATAAAATAACCCCTCTTGGCTTACACTCCACTTGTCTTTTCAAAAGATTATCTTTTCCCCAAGTGAAGTCAACACTCTTGGAAATAGTTTATTACATCTAATTCCGCCCTGCTTTGTCTAATAGCCTTGCAAGCTAAAACCTATCAGGCTTTCTCTCAAAGTTTTTAAAACACGTCTACCAAGGAGAGGTATTTGCACCTTCGTAAGGAATGTTTCGTTCCCCTCTCCAATCGATGTGAGAATTCACAATGCACTCCCCTTCGAGTCCTAACATCCTCGCTGGCATTCGTTCCTCTCTCCAATTGCTTTGAGACCTCACAATCCACCTCCTTCGGGGCACAGCGTCCTCTCTGGCACACCGCCTGGTGTCCACCCCCTTGGAGACTTAGCGTCCTTGTTGGCACATTGTCCCGGTATCTAGCTCTGATATCATTTGTAACGACCTTAGATTTCTACAAACCTAAAGTCGCTACCATATACATAATGTAACTTCTTTTGCGGAAATAATCATTTATATCACCTTCATAAAACAACGTCATGGACTTATATCTTTAAGAAAAGTTCTTTTAAAACAATACAAAAGAAATATTATATAAACCAAAGTAAATATTAAATATAACAGTGTATTATAATAATCTAAAGTCTAAGAAATTTAAATACATATATCCTATGCATGTGTTATGGTCTTTACTTATGATACCGTCGTTAACCATGCAGGGGTGTCTTGCCTTTACCTGAAATATAAAAGTAGCACGTGGGTTGAGTCTGTGTAGAGATGTCTTAGCTTTACCTAAAATATACAAGTAGTACGTGACTTGAGTATGTTAAAAAATACTCAGTAAATGACCACTTCACTATTGGGGTTAGAAAATAAAAAGACATGTAAAATGAATGGGACCTATCATTTTAAAGTCTTATTCCCTTAAGTGACTATCCTAACAGGGTTATGAGCTGTGTGTAGAATTCCCGACTAGAAAGGGGCCCAGGAGGTATGCGAATCAACTGGTGGATCCATATTCACACATATGAGCTGTGTGTAGAATAGTAAATACACATCCAATGACTAGGTTAGGATAGTCACCTCGGCGAATATGACTTTTAAACGATAGGTTTCATTCATGATGTATGTCTTTGCATTTTCCTACATGGTTGACATTGCAAGTAAAGACCATGGCACATACATAGAGTAGATGTATTTAAATTTCTTAGACTTTAGTTAGTATAGGGCGTGGTTATATTCAATATTTACTTTTGTTTATTTAATATTTCTTTTGTATTGTTTTAAAAACCTTTTCTTAAACATGTAAGTTCATACAGTTGTTTTATGAATATGATTTAAATGATTATTCCTGCATAAGAAGTAAGGTTATGTATATCGTAGCAACTTTAGGTCAGTAAAAATCTAGAATTATTATATTTTAAATTCATTAAATAAAATGTTTGATATAGAAGATTGACACATGTTATTGAAACGGGGTCGACACTTCTAGCTCAATCCTCAATGCTTTACAAATATTGGTGGGATTCTTTAACACAAATGTATGTCTTGGAACAGCCATACATTTGTGTCATACAACTAAGTGTGTTTTCCTTGAGTATCGATATTGTGGCACAGCGAAAACGTGGTGGTTCTCGGAGAAGAAAGTTTTACCAGACTTGAACAACATTGAAGAAATCTTACTACAAAATATGGGAGAACAAACTGCACACATTTGCTCAGTGTTGATGCGCCTGAAGATCAAAAAGTGATCTTAATGGAAAGGAAATGTCACTTCAAGAACTTAGATTGTTAGATAGAGTCTGAAAGTCAAGTTCTAAGTATGCCATTATAGTTATTATAGAAGATGGAGTTAAAAGAGCCAGAGACATATGAAGAAACATCACAATATTCGACTTGGTAGAAGGCGATGGAAGAAGAAATTATAGCCTTGGAGCAAAATCAAACCTAAGAACTAGTTTCAAGACCAAGAGATATCAAACTCATCTTTTGCAAGTTAGTTTACGAAATAATGCGTCACCTAGATGGAGTAATAAAAGAAAATATAAGGCTCAACCGGTAGTCGAGAGTTCTCTCAAAAATATGAACTTGATTATGTGGAAATGTTTAGTCTAACAGCAAAAATCACTACCGTACAGGTCCTACTAGCACTCGTGGCAAGTAAAAAATTGAAAGTATGGCAGACGAACGCGAAGAATGCTTTCTTGCACAAAAAGTTGGACTAAAAGATTTACATGAATCAACCAAACGGATTTGAGAATGCAGTTGGATTCATGAGTTGGTACATGCAAAGTTCAAATAAGCCTCTTTTGAATGCGACTCGACAGGTCCTAAAATATGTCAAAGATACAATCAACTATGATCTTTTGTACGAAAAAAAAGTAAAAACTATAAGCTAGTTGGATATTGTGATGTTGACTATGCAGAAGGTCATGATACCCGAAGATCAATGACTAGATATCCTAAAAAATACCAAATTTTAATAATTGGATTTTAAAAAAATTAAATTCATGAAAATAAAAAAGAAGATAAGAAAGGACAAAAATAAAAGAAAATGGAAGGTTAATTTGCATTGAAACAAATCAAATATAGGCACGAACATTCCAACTGTCCGACGCACAGCTTGGTCAACCGACTAAAGAGAAGGCTTCACCCACACGACGAAACGACAAGTCGTCGTGACATCCCCACGAGCTGTCCACGTGCCACTTTGACCCACCCTACTTTTTCCCTCCTCTAATTCACACGCAATCCTCGTTCCTCCTCAATCCGTCATTTTTAATTAACTTCTTTTTTTTTTTTCTTTCCTTCTCTCTCTACGCTAAAATCCTCCACGTTCACCTAACTCCCATGACTGCACCAATCACAGAGCACTCTACTTTTTTTTCCTTTTTTTTTTTTTTTTGGCTTTTGTTTAAATTCCAAGCCTAACTTCAATACACTTGTGCCTCTCGGATCATCCCACGTGTCCCAATTTGTCGCCACTGGACCGTCGACGTGGTTCCAAAGAGAGCCAAATTTTAAAAAAGAAAAAGAAAAAGAAAAAGAAAATTCCCCTTCCCACTCTTTTACAAAAATTAGAATCTTATTTTCATCATTTTAAAAAAGGGAAAATAAATAAATAAAAGAATTCTAGAAGGTTATTGGAGATTCGACACGTGTCCTTCGATCTCGATGACTCACTCTGTTTGTTTCGTGACAGTTACAACGTTCATGCACCGGGTGCTTGGACCCTTTATTTATTATAGATAAACTCTGACTCCCACGTGGCTAGTTCTCATCGGTGACCATACTATGTGGGCCCGCCAACTCAGCAGTCCGACAAGGACGACCGTACTTATCTTCGTTACGCGCCTCACTCTATAAATACTCCCCAACTCAAAAAAAGAAAATTAATAGTTTAATTCTTTTCCGAGAAGCAAAAATAAAAATCCAAAATTCAATTTCCGGCGCTCCACTTTCCAATGGACCCACTGACGCAGCTTAGCTTACCGCCGGGGTTTAGATTTTTTCCGACCGACGAGGAGCTTTTAGTTCAGTATCTTTGCCGGAAAGTCGCCGGCCACCATTTCAGCTTGCCGCTGATCGCTGAGATTGACTTGTACAAATTCGATCCATGGGTTTTACCGGGTAAGAATCATAAACCAAACCAAACCAAAATCCAAACCCAAACCAAAACAACTCTGTTTTTCAATAATTGATGAATATATTGTGACTTGCAGGGAAGGCTTTGTTCGGCGAAAAGGAATGGTACTTTTTCAGCCCGAGAGACCGGAAGTACCCAAATGGATCCCGACCGAACCGGGTGGCCGGAACGGGTTACTGGAAGGCGACCGGAACGGACAAAATAATCTCGTCGGAAGGGAAGAACGTGGGGATAAAAAAGGCACTGGTTTTCTATATCGGAAAAGCTCCGAAGGGCACGAAAACGAATTGGATTATGCACGAGTATCGCCTCATAGCCTCATCCAGGAAAATTGGAAGCTCCAAGGTACAACAATACAACAAATTCGAACCCAGCATTTTGATTATTCAATTTTTTTTATTAATGGGTGTTTTTTTTTTTTTTTTTTTTTCAGCTGGACGATTGGGTTTTGTGTCGGATTTATAAGAAGAATTCGAGTTGTCAGAAGCCGACGGGGAGTATTTCTAGTAAAGAATACAGTAACAGCTCGCCGTCGTCGGCGTCGTCCCACATCGACGAGATCATCGAGTCCCTCCCGGAAATGGGCGACGATTATTTCTTCACATATCCCAAAACAACATTGCAACAAAACGACTTTAACATGTTCAACTTTGAAATTCCGGCTGACTCTGTAAATTCCGGTTGGGAGAGTCTGGCCGGGCTCCACTCGGTGCCGGAACTCGTTCCCGTCGACCACACGGAAACTTTCGATTACAAGGATAACAACTACAACACCAATCTCTACGTTCCTTCAATTACAACGCCATGTTTCCAAGTGGACCACCCGCCGCTGCCGGCGTTCCAGTATCAAACGCACCACCGCGACGGCAGCGGAGTGTTCGGATTCAGGCAATGAGGAGCGGTTTTTTTTTTTTTTTTTT